ATAGGATTTCCTTGTATAATTTGTCTTTTTCAGTCTCATTAGTTACTTTTTTAATATCATAAAGCAATGAAACAGCATATTCACACTGTGCATCAGAATGATCATGTTCATCAGCAGCTTCTTTAAAAAGCTGTCTGGCCCTAATTGGATCTTTTTCTCCAAGATACCCGTAATTTAAATAATATCCTAGCCTAAATATTTACAATCGAATAATCATTATTCTATCCACTTTAAGTTAACCAAGTCTTACGATCCTAAAATCACAAATTTCGACATTGCTCGTGAGTTTAATGATAATTCTAAGCCAATTTCGGATCTAAAAATCTTGCGTTGGATGGCACCCGAAAAAATGGAAGGAAAATCTTATAATACGAAATGTGAAATTTTCAGGTAACCTAGTTGTTTATAATTTATAGATAAAATATTTAATATTCTAAAATTTATAATTATAAAGTTTTGGAATGATGCTGTGGGAACTTTCATTTGAAAAATACCCGTACAGTGAATATGATAACTATAATGGTCTCGATAAAATAAAAAAACATGTAACAAGTGGCAAAAGAGAGAAACTTGTTTTTGGTAGAGCGAAAGACCAAAAAGAAAAAGAAATTCAGCAAACATTGGCGGACATCATCAGATCCGGTATATACTATTTATGAATGTCGCCAGGGAAAACCTGTCATGAGGGTTTAACATTATTGCATACTGGGCTCAATCTATTTGATATACTAAGGATTGCAGATTTTCCCTTGGTGGCATTCATATCTTAAGTATGTATTTTTCATAATCTGAATCATTTACCTAATATGTTTAAATTTCTTTTATATGTTATCTTTTTAAGCCTGGCTCCATGATTCAAGTCAGAGAATAAATTTGGGGACGTTACTTATAAAGATAGAAGAGTCAGCTAAAAAACATGTTAAGCCTGGTTCCTTGCCACAAATATTTTCTGATAAAACATTAGATTTAGATGGTGAAAAGTACTCTGAAAATTTTGATGATTTTGATGAAGATTTTGACGACTGCTATATCATTAATTATAATATAAAGACAATAATGCCTCTTGATGAAGGATTAAGAATTCATCAGCAAATAGAAAACGAATCTAATGAAACGACGAAAAATGAAAACAGAAAGCAAGCGTGGGAATGTTTTGTGGACAATGCCGAAGTAGGAAACTCAACGGCCAAATATTGGAAAGGTTATTATTTATGGAAAGGTTATGTTCAAAAAAACCAGGATGTAGCTATTCGACTTTTTAAAGAGGCAGCAGATGAAGGTGTCTCTAGGTCACAATTACGTTATGCATTTTCAATTATTAAAAATCGAGAAAAGTTATCACCAACTGAGGAAGAAGAGTTTATGAAATATTTAACGATGGCCGCTGATAATGGATTTCATGTAGCATTATATAATTTAGGTAACATATACATAAGTGGACATTTTAACGTTGAAATAAATCATGATCTTGGAATTAGTAAATTGAAATTAGCTGCTGCTTATGGAAATAATGATGCAAAAAAGTTGCTAAAAAAATTGGGATATTGATTTTTATAATTATAAAATTTAAATTATTAATATTGTAACAAAAAATTTTTAGTATTATAAAATTTTTATTCTTTATTATTTATAATAAAAAAATTGTTTTTATATCTATCATTATGAACAATAAAACGTGAAGCACTTTAATTTCAATAGTTACCGTATATCTCCGAATATAAGCAACCGAAATTTTACCGATTTTTCGATTCAAAAATGAGGGATATTTATATTCAGTGTAATTTTATTAGTAAAACATAACAACCTTGCCAAATTTTATATTCGGCGATATACGGTAGCAAAAAAAAATAAACCTTGTAATTAAAATCAAAATCATGCAATTTTGTAGGGTGATGTAGATCAGTTTTACTGTTCATTGTCAGAACATCAAAAAAAGCTATTAAACTTCATAAATGCTTAATAATATGGGGTTGAGTCAATAGAAACCAAGCAAATATTTTTTAATAAGTTTTTTAAAACTTTAAACAAGGATAACTTAACAAAAGCTTAATCAAGTTTAGTAAAAAAATTTTTAAATTAATTCTACAAATTTATAAAAACTATTTAAAAAAATTTTTATTAA